AAAAGCGTAACAAATTTCATACAAAACACTAGGGAAGCAAGGAGGTGATCTCATAACTCCTTCCTCAACCTTTGCCTGCATGCTCTTTCCCTTGTCTCCATAAATTGAGATCACGATATAGGCAGACAGGGCAGTGAAAGCAGAACATAAAATGCTTCTTGGACCTCCAGTCTGCTAGCCATGGGAATTGTTTTCTTCCTTCATTATGCAAGAACGAAATATAGTGCAAGCCTTTGAGGAAGTCTTGAAAACCACATAATTTATAAAATCAATCTGTTTATTTCTGTTCATAAATAGGGTAAGTTCACGAGGTTTGCAAAAAAAAAACAAAACAAAACAAAACAAAACCATTGAGTGCTGGACAGAGTGCTTGCAGGTGATACATGGCTATGAAAGGCTGTTCAAACAGCTAGTACAAATATGTTCTCAATGACTGTTGCCATGGGCAGAACAAGAAAGTTAGTCACACAACAAAATATCATTGAAAATAGTTTTTTGTATCATCAACTTTGAGAGGCTTTCTTATACAGTGTACCATGATCTAACTCTTTAACCTTTGTTCTAACTATTTAAATCTCAGATGTGATTTCTTACAAGTTAAAACATGTAATGAGAATATTCCAACTTGTGAGGTAGAAGATATTATCTTGATCTACCACCAAATCCTGGTAACTAATGGTTATTTTCGGAAATGCATAGCAGCTCGAGGCTAGAATTAAAGGATTTTAAAAAGTTAAAGGGGGAGTGATATTAAAGTCTTCTACTCTTTGAGTTTGGTCACTTTTTCTTGTTATATTTTCCACCATCATTCTCTGTGTAAAAGAACAAATGCACCCAATCCAGCAAGAATGAAATACTGAAAAAGAAGAGAGGAAAACAGATCAATTACATAAGTGGTAGGGTTAATTCACCAAAATTAATCCAAAAACAATAACACCATGTTGCAGTATTTTTATTAATAGATACAGTGGCATCAGCCCACCAGAATAAAACAACAACTGTTAACAACAACAACAACAAACAACAATTAAACAAAAACCTAAATGATGTATATTCATAATTAATCTGGCTGGGAATTAAGATGCCAGAGGTTGCAAGACTTCTTTGAGGTCACCACCCTTAAAAATGAAAAAAATATAAATTGTATGTTTTGTTAGTAAAACTGTACAATATTCTAAGACTTACTTTAAATTTTGGATAATCATTCATGAGAATTGTTACCATGCCAACATAAGGGACAAACCTGAAAAATAAAAAAGTAAAAAAAAAAATTAATAATATATATATATGAGTGAAGTTTTAGTGCAAAGTTTTAATTTTTATTTTCCTTTATAATTGTTTACAAAGCTCCATGATTGTAGAGCACCCTCCGATTCAAGGATAAGGTTTTTT